TATATATCCCTAGTTCTTAATAGGCGGCCCGCGGGCCAAATTTGGCCCGCATGGTCATTTAATCTGGCCTGCGAGGAAAAAAAAATTACATAATACATTTTCATTATAATTAAAATAAAATAATCTGATAAATTACATAAAATGACCAAAATGGACCAAAATATATATATATATAAAATAATGCACATTAATCTTCATAGTCTGTGTTATTGAAATTTGTTATGCATAGACCTAACGAAATATTGTAATATTGTCTCAAATAGGTGCGATTCCATTTGGCCCGCGAGAGCTTCTCTAAAAAAAAAAATTGGACTGTCAAAGAAATTAATTAAGAACCAGGGATAGATATATACTTTCAAATTTTCTGATTTGAATGAATAGAACCATGTAGACCAATAGTTTTAGAGAGTGCACTAATACAATGTCTTCATCTCTCCCTTAAGTGGCAAGCGTAACAATGTATTTAAGAAACATGTTGCCAAGTAAACATAAAAGTAGGCACCATATAACAGCAAGCAAGGTTTATACTCATTTTAGTAGAAAAACCATACCTTGCAAGGTGGCAGAAACTAATGAAGAACTGGAAGAACTAGTTGAAGAAATAGGTTTTACATAACTACGTCTGACGTTCCTTAAACGCTCTTCAATCCAACCCGTGGCAGAATGCCTGCCCTTTCCAGGTGTGTACCATGCCTCCTGTAAAGTGAAACCTTATTCTTAATATAGCTCTTATATAGCTTTTCATTTTCGTATAGCTAGCTTTTAGTTTGCCTCTTTTAACTTGTTTTCTTAAATTGATTAGACTATTATTTCGCAATAGCTTTAGGAATACTATTTTGGCATATATAAAAATTTTGATTTTCTTTCATAATATTCCCAACATTGTGAAAATAATTAAAATCATCATTACTAAAGTCAGTTTTATGTTTATTGATAATAAATTAATAGTTACTACAGTCTTTAAATTTGAAATTCTGGATCACTATAGTCATGAGAAAGATGTCATCAGTAAGCAGCAGATGGCTGAAAGAAATACTTTTTTCAGGCACACCATCATTTTTCAAATGGTGAGAGCAAATAAACAATAGTTTTTTCATGCCTTATTAAAAAAAATTGGAAAGTGCCCTACTACAGTGTACTACTGTACGAATCTATGAAAAATGGTGGGGTTGGGGTGCAGAAAAAATATAGGGATTCATAAATAATAACTTTGAGTCGGTTATAGACTTACAAATCCATGGCCCTCATCATCCTTTAGTGATGGGAACTCCTCAATGATGGCCCTAGCCATTCTTTTCTTTACTTCACAGCTGGGTCTGTTGATAGTGAAAATGAGTTACAACAAGGGAGTGATTACATTATGAAATATGATAGTAACAATGACATTTATATAAATAAATAATAATTCCACAGAATATCATCACACTATTGAAGACAATCATAGAACAATTAATACCTATCTCCAAAGTGATTGATGATTTCAGCAACAACAATCCTAACAAATTGTAATCTACTTTTTCTTGTCATTCCATCACTATCTATTTCGGCAATGATTGATCGCCCAACATGAGAATTCTCCAGCAAAGCTCGAACATTCTAAAAAGATAGAAAACACTTTCAGTCTAATAAACAATTCAATTTTTTTGTTTTGCTTTTTAAAATTATACAATTTTTATGGAGGATAAGAATAAGGCAAGATTTTTTAATCCTTGTTTCACGAAACTTATTTTTTAAAGCTTGAGATAAGCATAAACTTTTTTTTTTTTAAAGCAGATAGCTTGCCAAAACCATCCCGACAGAGGAGAAAATAAAATAAGTTTTATATTTTTTATTGAAATTTCCATTTTTTAGTGGCGGTGGGTGTGCTAATTGATCAAAAATAAAATTTTATTTTATTCCAAACCATCAATATTTGCGGGCTGCACATTGGCTAAACAAGTTATAAAAAAATGTCTTCCCATAGTAAACAAGTCTTAGAGGATGTTTGGTTTGGCACGTAAAAAATCCTAGTTTAATATTATACCAAAATAAATGCTACAAGTTATTACTAAATATTCTACATTCTAGCTTCCTAGTGACACTTACGAAGTCAGACTTGACCTTCTTTCCAATATTTTTTTCAATTGAATGTGAGGAGCTAGAACTGCTCATGCTCTCATCTTCAGTGGACAATGTCTCTTCTGTATGACTGCGCTTCTGTGGATGCTGAAATATAAAAATGGAAGGAACAAATTACAGTTTTTTGTCGTTACATATTACAACCCAATTGATTTTATGCGATTCCTTGGGGGGTGGTAGCTTCGGTTAATATTTCAATTAATACTTGATGGAAGGTAGAATACTTACAGTGTCAGTTTACTTGGAATATCTATGTGTGTATTCTGTTTATCATCTTCTATTAGCAATAATATTCAACTCAAGTTTTGATGCCCATCAATCAGTAAATCATTAAACAGTATTCACAATGTGGGTGTTACGTTTGAATTTCCCATGTAACAAGGTTTGAATAAGTTTATGTTATAGAAACTCAAAAAAATAAAAATAAAAATAAAGACTGCATATATGCACATTTCAATGATTTGACGTAAGTCTAGTGGATCCGATGTCTTAAAGTAATAAAAAGATATGGCTCTTGTGTCTGGTCATATGATTTAGCTGCATGATATGTCTCGAAATCAAGCAGATCTTCTATACATGTCATGCTATATATTCCTTCCTCTACAGGTTTCTGCACTACATAGGAATGGGTGTGTCGATCAAACTTTACAATTTGAAATGGCTCAGTAATCAATTTAATTCCATTTTCCATACAAACCACATAAACAATCCTCTGAAACACAGGCTCAAGGGTGTCTGTTTTACTAGTAATAACAACCATATTCTTTTGATACCTTTGTCCATGCACAACACACCACTTTGCAACATAGATATCATCCATTAATTGGACACCCATCAAATTCTCCAAAATTTCACCATTTTCTAAATTTGCCAGAAGAATAGATGACCCTGGTCCAACTTCCTGGTCTCTCTGAACCAGATTTTTTCCACCAATCATATTGTAACAGAAGTACATCTGTTGTCTGTAGCTGAGCGTCTTTAGAATGTTCCTGAAATTGCACACAATATGACCAAGACGTTTAAAGAAATTATGCTTGGCTTCAAACCGCATAGCCCAATAGTGTCTAAGGGGCCCAAGCATGCGTATTTGTCGAGGGTAATGGGTCATAAAGTGGTGCTTGGGCTTTAGATGACGCATTGGGAATAACTTCAAAAAGTGCTCATGGTGATCTTTGATAACATGCTTAAGAAAGTATGTATCATCTACAGTTACCTCATAGGAAAATATGATATCCATGCAGTCTAATAGTAGCAATAACAATTCAAAGTATTCATTATCTTCAGGTACTTTATCCCCAATCAGAAGAGGCAAATGGCGAATTAAGCACCACATCTGTGCAGCTTTTTGATGAGCAGCGCTATCTGGGTTTCGCAGCTTTGAAGCAGAAATCACTGAAGGTTTATTTTTTAAATCGCATAAACCATAATCAAAGCTAGTAATTCTGCTGTTTAATAAATCAAGAGTGAAATAGTTGTCTTCTATAAGTGCAGCAAGAACAAGATGAACTTCCAAACTGCAAACTCCTTCTAAAAGGTCATGCATTATGTCTGGGGAGAAGTTCTTTGTTACATGGAAATTATGAAGTTCATTCAAAGGACATGATGATTTTATACCAGTTTGTGAAGGGTCATTCTGAAGCACATCTACTTCATAATTATCTCGTGTTCGAAGCAAGTCTTGTTGCTCAACTAACGAATACTGCAAGTCATTTCTATGCATCTTGCAGTGCCTACAACAATAGTTGCCCACAAAACTTTCCACAAATCCACAAATACCATTGACACCAAGGTTGTCACCAGTAAGTTGAGCAATGCTACCTTTGACAATTCCACTATATACATCACTATTAATGTAAACACCTACAGTCTCTAACTCTATGAGATCATTTACAAGGGGAAGCATAACATCATCATAACCATATGTTTTCACATCTCTTGCATTGAACATTGCAACAAGGAAGCAATTTGCCAAGGTTGAACGGTATTTTGGGGGTATGTTCAGTATTGTGCAGTAGACAACACAAATCTTATGGAGACCTGCCTTAGAACCGAGAGGATTGACAACTTCACACTCATCGATGTATATGAGAAGCTGAATGTTTAATGGATTGGAAAAAAGATTGTCTCCTCTACAAAATTCACCATCCTTAAAATGGATATGAAACGGTTTCTAGAAATCCAAAATCTTGTCATCATTGTTTAGAAAGTCAT